CACGCATTTTCTTTCTCTTTTTCTCTTACAGCTAGTAAATGAAAGAAGTTTCACTTCAGTTGTCTAGTCATAAGCACACTCGTTTTTTTATGTTAAGAATATTTAAATAAAGAAATATAATCGATTTTTTTTCCTACGATAGTATCGACCAGGTGATACAACTTTTATCTATGGTTATTGGTTATTTACTCAGTTTAATAGCCATTTATTTATTATTTTAAATATCCGCATAATATTTACATAATAAACACACATATGAAATGATAATTCAGAAGAAGATTTTTGATACATAAATGCGTCAAGCGCAATCTAGGCGGATTTGCCCATTCTCCTTTGCCTCTGTCCCTGGGCAGCTAAAATAGGAACTCATCGGACCCACATATTATCGCCTTTCAGCTCGCCGTCCATTCAGGAGCGTGATTACCTATGCCAAGAGCTCCATGGCCAGCTCCCCCTAGCATCAGCACCGGGATATGATATAAGTATAACGTGTTTTTATCACGCTCAATTGTCAAATTACTATAAAGTTTGAGTTAGACGCGATAAAAAACGTGATATAATGGAAATTGTGGTGCTCATGCTACGGGGACTGGAGTGGCAAGCTGGGTTGCCTGTATAACAGGCAGTCCTCGTACTTACGGCATGTTAGGTTCTCGAATATAGGACGATACGCGACGTAAATCGAAACGACGTAAGTCGAGACATATTTTTATTATATGTTTACACGGACTCAAAATAAATAAAAACTGCATTTTATAACTAAGGATATACATAATTTATTTTAAAAGTAAGTTCTTAAAATATTGGTATTTGTGTGTTATTTATTTTAATTTTATGTAATGATAAAACTTTAATATGTAGGTAAACAAAATATGTATTTAGAAATAATAAATTAAACTTTTGCCTTAAGAAACTTTCAATTTAAGATTGCTTCGCTTCTTTCTTCTTACTATCATACAGGTCTTGGTAACACTGATAGGCTGCACAAATTTTGTAATTAACATTAAAACTTCTCGCAAAATTAGGATCATTTTCTTCAAAAATTTTCATGGCACTCTCCAAATTTGCAAAGGCTACGGAAAGTTTTTTTAGTGTAAGTCCTTTTTCAGAGTTACTAATAGAAGAAGCTGTTTCTTGTGACTCGATTGCTTTCTCTTGTACTTGTGCCTCCAATTCAATAAGGTCTTCATCAGTCAGTTCTTGCGAATGTGAGCATAAGAGATCATCAATATCATCAGCAGTAACTGCAATGCCAGGCAAACGGTTAGCCAAATGAACAATGTCAGTTATGATCTCATCGATATTTGGTTGATCTGTAGATGAAGAACTTTCAGATGGCTTAAAAAAATGGGGGCATAACATTTCCCAAACTCCTTTTAAATTGTTGGGTGTCACCTCATCCCATGAAGCAGCAATATTTTTTATGCATTGCAAGATATTATAACTTTTCCAAAAATCTCTCAGCTCCATGCCATCTTTTTCATAAGCCTTTATAGCCTGTGAAAAAATTCTCCTGAGATAATAGACCTTAAAAGACGCTATAACTCCTTGATCCATCGGCTGTAACAACGAAGTGGTGTTTGGAGGAAGGAACAAAACTTTGATTTGAGGATCGATATCGGCAATACGCACGGGATGGGCGGGAGCATTGTCCAAAATAAGTAAAGCTTTATAAGCCAAATTATTGTTTAAACAGTACTGTTTCACTTCAGGTATAAAATGCTTAGTAAACCATTCTTCAAAAAGTATTGAAGTAACCCATGCCTTTGGATTAGCCTTCCATATAACTGGAAGAGTACTCTTGACGTAATTTTTAAGAGCTCCAGGATTTTCAGTCCTGTAAACCAAAAGGGGTTTCAATTTAAGATCACCTTCAACATTCGAACCCAATAACAACGTCAAACGATCTTTAGCCGCTTTAAACCCAGGCATACACTTTTCTTCCTGCGATATAAAAGTACGAGAAGGCATTTTCTTCCAAAATAAACCAGTTTCGTCTACGTTAAAAATTTGTTTGGGCGAATAGTCTCCACTTTCGATAATTTCCTTTAATATTCCAGGAAAACTCTGAGCCACATGATCAGCACTAGCAGCTTCTTCTTGCCCTTGAATGTTATGTAACGAATATCTCGTTTTAAAGCGCATGTACCATCCGCGACTGGCAGAAAAAGATTTTGTTTCTTCACTTTTATTCTCGCCACGTTTATTTCGCAGTATGTTAATGATACTCATCGCCTTATTTTGAATAATAGCCAAACTAAGAGGAACCCGTCGCTGAGTTTGGTTTTGAATCCAAGTGTACAAGAGTTTTTCCATTTCATAAATTAAAGCATTCCTTTTTCGTATAATAGTGCTGTTTAAAGAGACGCAAGGTAGAGCTGTTAGTAGTTTTTCTTTATCTTTCAATATTGTTTGTACGGTCGTGCGTGATAAATTAAGTTGTCGTCCAATAGACGAAGTCGAAAAACCGCGATCTTTGAGTTTTAAAATCTTAGATTTAACCTCCATTGTAATTGTCTTTCTTACTCTCTTCTTCACTTCACTATTACTGTCTTGTTTAGGTGGCATAGTTAGATTAAAATTCACTTAAATATGTCTATAAAAACAAAAACTGTGAAAGGTGAAAAAAAAACTAATGCATAACGTCTTGATTGTCCGTTGTCCCTGAACTAACTAAACAAACAAAATCAGCAGCATGTGCGGGGTGATCCCCGCTCGCCGACGCCGCGCCGCGCCTCCCCCACCACGGACATTGACCTCGCGACAAGTGTATTCTCCTATGCCGGAAATCGAAACAATTGACGTATACTTGAAGAATAGTCAAAACATTGTTCGACGTAAATCGAAACGACGTAAGTCGAGGACTGCCTGAATAATGTTCTCTATGGCTCGCATGCCTACCATGTCGGACGCTCCTGAATGGACTGCGCGCTGCCTGGGAGTTGAGAACGCATTTTTTTTCTTCTTCATCAAGCGCGAAAGCTAAGGAAGACGCATTATTGGGTGTCGTTAGCTGGTTCAGTCTGAGCCGTTAATAAATGCAGCTATTTATTATGATATAGCTGAAATCATTCACACGTGTTTGTCCGCGTTTATGCGAACGATTTTATGATTTTTACGACTACAACATTGCGCGATTCTAATAAGTAGATTTATGGACCAATAAATTTAATTTAATTAGGAGTCTTTCGTGCTTAGTGAATTATTATGTTGTTATAAATAGGAAATATATAGACCAAAATACAATGTTTTAGCATTTCATATTTTATTTTGCTCTCAAACAATTTATTAGAAAACCAATACAAAGACAAGGAATGTTAAACATATTTACAACATACACACCTAACACATAATGCCTTAAAAACATTTACATTAGATACTGATTTTTAAAAGTATTTTAAAATTAAGTAGGCACATTTTTTTCAAAACTCAATTTATGTTAGACCTGAAATAACAACTTAGCAAACATTTTTATCCAGTTCAATTATCCTAAAATTTCAATTAACAACAATGCTACATTATCATAACTTCATAATTCATCACTCCGACATGGACAGCAACACACACTTGTTGAGACAAGTTTTCATTTTCTTTAGCCATCACAAAGTGTCAGAATCAACTTTAAATCAAACTTCAACATTATTTGTGTTACTGAATGTAACTATAAATCTTATGGACTTTGAAATTTTAAATATTTACATTTGCTAGTGAAGGCACTGCAGGCAACATTTCCTGTTCAGTGAGTTTCCCAAGGTTTCTTATAACGTGTCTATAGATTCTGATGAATACAATCATGCATGGTATCGATTCTGTTAAGTCAAAGTGAGAATTGTGTATCAATGGCCACAGCATGTCATAATGGAATTCAGGAGTGTGGCCGACCAACAGGCACAACTTCTCCAATCGCCAGGGGGCCAATCGCCTAACTGGATTGCTTTGGAAAACGCTATCGCTTACGATTTCATTTTGTTATTTCTAGCCCCTTGAGGTTTTCAAATGCCTCGCGCTCTTTTTTTTTCTTTTGCATTGGTAATAACAATGTTAAAGAAAATGAGCGTGAGGTATTTCGGCGGTTAGAAATAACTGAATGAAATCGTAAGCGATAGCGTTTTCCAAAGTAATCCAGTTAGGCGATTGGCCCCCAGCATCGCTTCCAGAAGCCTGCAGCAATTTCCCAAGTCTGTTTTCCTTCTGGACTAACTTAGGCTGGCTGGAGTAAACAGGAATATTTCGAGACACGCACAATGGTCCAATAATTAGGACTAAGTGCAAAAACTGCCCGGAAAAACTAAACTGATTTAAGTGTATCGATGGTGTCTCAGTAGTTTTGATTTTTGGCAGCAGTTATTGTTACTCAATGCAAAATCACAAATATATTTCATTACACACTTGATATTGTTATCTTTATGCTTTTGTTATTTTATGTTACAATAACAAGAACTGTGTCAAAAAGCAATATATATAATACTAATGAACCACAATTGAGACACTTACTTTAGCTTAGCAGAGTCGACACCCAGACCAATTGCTTGTTTACTCTTTGCTAAAATAACATTACTATCTCTAGTGATATTATTTATGTAAATTATGTTGTGTTCAAAGTTTCATTCAGATCTAGGTATACTTAATATAAACCTAATAAGCCACATTGTTTCTTCTATACTTAAATTTGACTATAGTTAAAATACTAGAGAAAAAAATAACCATTTGTCAAAATTTTAGGCCTGTATTACAGAATGACAACTAAGTGTTGATCTTTACTTGAGTAGCGTTAGAGAAGGATGCCCCTATGAACTATATATAGCGACATCTCTTTCTGACTATGCTCAAGACTAGATTCATTACTGAGAATATTTTTATAATACGGGCCTTATACATTTACTTTTTATTTGATGTGACATTCACTCGTATTAACTAGAATCAAATTTAACTATGCATGAATACAGCTATGCAATGTTAAGCCAAAATTAATAACTAATTTTATCTAAGCATGTCATTAATCAGTCTTGTTCGTTTGTTTCTTCAGCACTGGAACTTTCTTCACTACTGCTCTCCTCACTTGACTGATCACTAGATTCATCTTCTGAGTGGTCACCCTTAGCTGCTTTTTTATTCATGATCTCTTTGAACTGCCTTACTGTTATTTTTCTAGGCATTATTTCCCTGAGGAAGTCCAACGTATCGTCCTCCTGTACCACCTCTGCTATGTGTTTGTACTCCAACATGTTAGCTTTGCTGGTTTTAAAAGCTCTTTTGGCTAAGTCGATAACGAACAGCTCCTGAAATATACAACAGTAGCTTTAAATTAATATTATTGAACCTCTTTATATAGAAAACTCAAGTGTAGTTTAAGTTTATTGCTACACACTAAAAATGTTTGAGGTTATAAATTTTGTAATTCTTACCGTGACCTTTGTAACTAAATATAAAGGTTCAGGCCCGACAGCTTCAACATCTGGAGAACTTTTCATAATCGTTTTAACTCTTGACAGTGGTAAATGTAAATCTTTTTCTGTTTTCGGTGTCGACATCTTCGCTAGCTTCGCTTTGTTTACAAATTTACTTTTGTTTTAAATAAAGCTCAAAGAAAGGCAAAGGATTATATTTCGTCCATATCCATACAGCCAAGTTTACAGAGTGGATACATATTAAAAAAATACAATATTGTGGCTCAAGATCATGACACAACACACGTAAATAAAAATAATTTTCTCAGTCTCTAGTCGAGATCAGTTGTGATCATAACTATGAAGAGTGCAACAAAGGAGTCGTCCAAAAGCGCCTGATACAAAATGCTTTGCAAAAGTTACAAATTGAAATGAATATTGATGTGTTAGTCAGGCGTTACTCCCCTTCCCTTAAATATTTTTTTGATACCTACTTGAATACTACCTACTACATTCTCTATATATCACAGTAGTCTAGATGGGTATCAAACAAAATAAGGGTGGTGGTAGTGAAGTCTACTCATTGTGCCTTGTTGTGTTGTTCATCAATTATGAAAAATACATTCGTCATTGTTATTCGTGCAGAATTGCAATTACTCAGCCTGCTAGTAAAACTATTTAAGAATGGTGTTTGAACCGATGACATTCAAAAAGTTAGTGGTTCCGTTCTGTTATGATTCTATAGACTATACTCTTATCGACAAAAAGCATATGTTTCTGGGCCACTTAAGAAAACAAGCACTGTTTAGATTGGTCTCAAATGAAAAAGGGTACCCATTTTAATTTAATCTAAGTTTCCAATAAAAACTTTATATTTTCAGTTTCACAGTTTCTCTAGTTTCATCCCTTCAACTTGTATTTTTGTGACTAAAGCTACCTTGGTGTGCCTTGTGATCTAATTGTAATCCATACAATATATCTAATTGGTTTTGCGGTTTAGGCGTTAAAACGCACGGTTAAAACGTATCAGAGAATGTCTGACAGAATATATAAAAGAGCTTTTTGAAAATAGATAGTCTTTCTTAATAACATAAGTCATATTTTAAAATTTTTAAGCATGTAACTGCTAGACGTTTGAATCTAAAGAAAATTTTATAAGAATAAATTCCACGCGGACCAGGCAGCAGACGGACTCGAACCAGCATCCTTCGCTATCCGGGCGAATGCACTGATCATTATACTACCGCGGCCCCGACTGCCATGTCGAATTTTCTCTAGCCTTTTTTAACCTGCAAGGCAGCGCCATCTCTTCACATTGTCAGTAACCCACAATACAACATAAGACCTCTACGGTCTACCATTAGGTAGTGTCCACAGCATAAATCCAGAGATTGAAATTTAATGCTACCTAAATTTTTTTGGACAGATAGTGACTTCAAGTGCGCCAAAGTTGGCGGTCTGCTACCGTTATCGATAATCTCCCGAGTTGGTACTTGATCTTGAAAGAAAACTCGTATTATATCCACTACCCCCAACTTATAGTTCCAGATTGCTCACTCTATTTATGGTTGGTTGTGTAGTCTTTCATAATAATTCGAAATATACAAAAAAACCGCCTCCGTCTCCGGCTTCAGTGTGTTTTGGCCTAAAGTAGCAGATCAGAACTTCAGCGATTCCTTTAAGTTAGTTACCTACGTAAATCCACCCCTTTTTGAAAAGACAGCTTTGGTTGCCCGTTGTATGGCTCTTACTATTAGTACGAGAAAATTGTACGACCGTTAGTTCGCTCTCAGAGCATTATATGATTATGATTGGCCGTTTCTAAGGAAGTTTCTATGGATGTACAGTTTTAGCTCCTTGAGCTACAGAGCTTGTATTTCCACTAGTACCTGTAGTAGTCCCATGATGAGACTACTGGTATTTATCCCGGAGGTTCCACTGACTCGATGGATTTAAATTTCCAATAGTGTCAAAAAATATAACTGAAGGCTAAATTCTTCCTGAACCTCTGGGAAAAAATACCACTAGTCCCATCATGGGACTGCTCCACTGGCACTACAGGGAATACACGACAGAGGAATGAAGGTACCATCAAATAAAAGAGTTCATTTGGTCTTAATGCTAGCTGTCTTTATTTTCCATTTCCTTATAGAAAATACTTTTACGAAAACAGTATATAGGGCCGCCTGCGCGCCCGGACGGGCCGTGAGCGACGCCGCTGACTAGTCTCGCCCGTCGACCCCTCACATCCGATACTTACATGAAACGATAAATAATACAAAAAAATACTGATATCGCGAGATCGACAATCTTCTTACAGGGACTTCTCAATTTTGATCAGTTCAGCGATGCCCTCGTACATTTCCTTGACGGCGTCGTACTCGGTGAGGCCCATGCGCCTCTTGTTGGAGATATCGTAGACTCCGCCCTCGGCCTCCGTATGCTCGCCGCGGGTGCCACGCACCTGCAAGTGGTACTTGGAAGCGACTTCCTCCAGCTTAGCCTTGTCGGCGGCCAGCTTCGGCAGCTTGATGTGCACTGAAGCACGCACCGTCGTGCCCAAGTTGGTGGGGCAGAAGGTCAAGAACCCAAGCCGATCATTGTGGGAGAAGGGAATCCTCTTCTCGATGTCGTTGACGGCGGTCACCAACCTCTTGTACACCTGCTTCAAGTCGCCGCCCATCTGCATGGAGATCAGACGCAAGTGGTCCTCCTCATTGCACCACACCAGGAACGTCTTGTTCTCGTTGTGGTAGATGCCGCGGCCGGTGGGCCAGAAGCGGCAAGCGTTGGCGGCCTGCAGGAAGCGGTCACCCTCCTTAAACAGGAAGTGGTCATCGATCAGTTGCTGTTGGGTCTCCTTGGACATGCCGGTGAGTGGGTAGAATGTGCCCTTCAGTTCGCCCTCGAGGCCGGACAGGGTGGTTGACACTTTATCTTCCATCTCTTTGTACTGGGCCTCTGTGAGGCAGGGGTTGAAGGGGTATCCCTCCATGGAGCGGCCACAACGGACGCGTGTGGAGACTACGAACTCGCCAGCAGGGTCAAGGTTTCCGAGGGTTTCTACGTCACCCCAGTTCTTGGGTGGATGCTTGTCAGTCTTCTTGAAACCATTGTGGTAGTCCTCGATGATGGGGTCGAATAAGTCAGCGAAGACCACATACGCCTCAGCATCAGGGGCGTAGATTCCAACACCAGAGTCCAAGTTCTCAACACCTGAAATTATAAAATATTACATATTTCAGTTTAATGAGCCTTTACCTTGTATATAATCATGAAAAAAGTTTAGGTAGTGAAATAAAAACCTAATATTGTAAAATTTTATATAATATTATAATTTACATCATCATTTATCAATCATAACTACCATGTACCGAAAAAAAAACTATGATAGGTAAGTAGGTAGGTAATAAGCCTGAATAATATAATAAGCACCAATAGATTATCTGTAGTCTGAAGATAAGTCAGTACCCAATTGAAGACTGAACTGATATGTGTTTCAATTACATTTATAACTAGTCAAGTAACAATTATATAAGTAGGTACTAAAGAATATGAAAAAATTAAATAGGTACCTGATTGAATGCAGTCTAGGAGTGTTGAGTTAAAGGAGGTCTTCTTGTTCTTAAGAGCATCAAATACCTCCCTGGTAAGGTACTTCTTCAGCAGCGACTTAGAGTCAGAGGCCTGGAGTTTGCTGAAACCAGCCTCCAATTTCTCAAGGGTTGCGGCGTCCACCATTGCTGCGGCTTTTCTGTAAAAAATAAAAATATACTGTCATTATCACTGCACTATGTTTCTCAAAAGCTTAATAAAGCTAATTTCGAAATTCTAACGCTTTTAATGCCGCACATGTTGCCCGAGTACACATTTTTTATTTATTATTATATTTTTTCTGACTGCTGCAAAAAAATTAACAAAATTTTCAAACTCGACAAAAATCGCGGCGGTTGAGCAATGAAATGTCAAAATTGATATTTTTTTTAAATAGGGACGTACCCAATATTTCTTGAATCGAGTTGTTCTATCCAGGATGAATTACTAAAAAAAATATTTAGAAAATATTCAATTGCGTATTTAATCATTTAATTTGACAGTTAAATTAACATATGACATCAAACAATCATAAGACAAATTTAACACGAGGCTTAAAAATCTAAACACACTCGACAAAACTAAATTACAAACCTCCGGATGAGGTAATATGCAAGAACAGCGCCACCACAAACGACCACTGGAATGGTAATTTTGAGTTTATAATTCATATTTGAATAATAATTCAAAGCTACGACTGTGAAGGGTTTTGAGAAGTGAAGCTTATGGAGGTATTATGCGAACTGCTGGACTCAGGATTGTTTTTCGAACACACCCAAGAATTCACTTAGTTTTATGATGGAATTACGTAATTTTGCCAGAGGTCGCCTTGACCGACACGCGCAAGTCTAACGGATGTGTCAGCTCACTGCGCACCGGTACTGTTTCACAGCGCGCAGCTCCGTGCCTCCCACTTACGAACAGCGAACGAATGTGTTACCGCGAGTTTCTTGTTACTTGTTTGCAATAATTTCTATTTGATACTGTAGGTGCACCGATTAAACAGTATAGTCAGATTACAAAGTATACGTAACGATTCATAAATGATAGCGAATAATGACAGATAAGGTTTCAGGTACATAAAGGACAAATTAAATATAAGCAACGATTGTTAATGAGTTTCCTACTGATCTAAAATCTTAGATATTACCATTGAGTAATATAGTAATCATTATTCAAGAAGAACATACCATTTCTATTTAAAACTTCAATAGTCGTATATCTAAACACTTAAACAAAAATTTAATGAAATTCAACTATAAGCTAAATTTATTCACAGAAGAGTTTCCTGTGTGACCTCAGTATTTTTCAAAAGACAATTTTCAGTGAATTGTTCCGAAGCAAAATAAAAAAATGTTGTCTTATAATCAGTTATATTGGTTTAAATTAAGATAACATATACTAATTTTCTTATATTTACATAGAAAATAATCAATTTGAAGAGATACAAAGAGTGTAACTAGAACTCAAGATAAATGCCGGCCGGAGATATACGCACCCGTCGGCATCCTCAGCCGGTTTATTTTCCTTGTTTTCTTTCGTTGCACAGCCTCCCATTTTCACAAATTTGGTATTTCTATTAAAAACTAGCCGCTAGACATGCACTAAATCACAAAAAACTACGGCATAAAAATAAAAAGGAATGGAGAATTCTAAATGCAGTGATGGAATGATATTTTGTCCAAATGAATGTATCAGAGCCGGGAGTGGTGAGGGCGAGGGTTGGCTCGATCGATGCGCGACACGCAACACGCACGCGGCTTTACGCTTCCCGCCCTTCGGGAATGACTTCAAAACTTTTTGGAGGGAAACTTTTGCCGATTTATTGCAACGGGTTACCTTTGACGGATGATATTTGAAAGTAGCACCTATGTCTTACACTATTCACTGATAAATTTAAATACAACACTTGACTTTATCTTTTGCACATCTTAAATGGAGATAAGTAGTCACACATCAAAAAAAAATCCGAACCGGTAAGTATTATCTCACAATAAAAGTTTGTCGTCGACGGTAGATTAGAATTGAAAGAGGGCACAGCTTACCTAGCGCTTGTACAACCGTCAGAGTCGACTGCGAGGTGCAGAATGGTCTCTGCGGGAGCGCGCGGAACGTTAAGCCCGCGGTACCCCGCGCCCGCACCCGTACCTCAGCCCTTCCTCTTTCAACCTTGGCCTTGCTGGCTGTGGCTGTGATGCTCACCAGGCTGGCGGCAGCGGTTTCCTCGCCAACCAGCAATAAGATCGAATTGAGAGTGATTATCATTATCAAATGAAGCTCATCCAAGATTTATTGCTGTCTTAAACGCTGTATTCTATTAATGATGTAAAGCCGGTTAAAAGACAGTTTTAAGAAAAACAAATATACCACTTACACTAACAGGCAGGTATTAATATAAAAGTGTTTTCGTCATTATATTATATTTCACTATAACGTTGATAAATAATTATCTATTTAGATTAACCCAGGATGTATACATGTAGCTACAGTTATAATTCGTTAAGTAAATTTTTTTGGCACACACCTACATTAGTGTGTTTATAAACTCGATTATTTCCATAATCGATTGATTAGGAACGAAGGGTTGCACATATCTATTTTTTTGCAAGGGAAATTTCAAAGTTTAAATTTAGAAGCGTTGCCGTTTCTTTTTCGTACCTGGATCATGTCCAAGAAAACATCGTGCGTGCGATGGTGCGGTGATGCCAATGTCAAGTTTGTTATTTTTTACTTTCATTGCATAACTCGAGCATTTCGCCCTGAACCATTTTGATTGTAATAAATTATTTATTTATTACCTTAACTAAATACCTATTATCGCGTGACTTCGTTACGATTTCGAAGGGTTTCATTCAATATTAATCATATTTTGACGTGACAACGTCTTAAATTAGGTTGCGGCTGGGAGTCACTTATGAAAAAGTGTAACGCTCGGTAACGTTACGATGAGTCTCTCGTGTTAAGTTTAAGTTTACATGTACAATGTTTTAGTAAACAAAATATATTTCTATAGTTAAAATTTGTGCAATTCTTATTTTCATTCAATTCCTTGTTCCTATTGTGCAATTTAATTATATTCATATCAATAAATATTCTACCGAGAAAAAGACGTTGTCACGTAAAATCTTCGCCCGTAAAACCGACTTTACAGGCAACCATTTTTTATTATTATACCCACCTTATCAAAGTTATAGTAGCCATACCCACAACTAGAAATCGTTACGATCAGACTGTACAGTTCGAACGGAACAGTTTATCGTACGTGGCGTACGTATAGAAAACTGTGCAGTTTTATAACATACACGCTACGATTTATCGGTACCGTTCGGACGGTACAGTCTAATCGTAACGATTTCTCGTAGTGTGTATGGCTACCATAACATAGTAAATCAGTTATCAAAAATCAATATTCCATTTAAATTACTGTTAATGTTTGTTTTAATCTGTCGTAATAGGGCAAAGAGCTTCTTCTTTAGGAAGCCTATGGTACGGTAATGTCGACCTTGACCGCACTTGTCCTTGGCCCACGCGTGGGGTAGCGCGCCGGTTGACTCGGGCGGAAACCATAAAAGGTCTTAAGTGGCTAGGGCACCTCGGGGCACTTGGCGGGCTTAACGGGGTTAATGGCCTGCGTTCGCGAACTTGAACTTAACCTTGTAGTATTTTTGCGAAAGCTTACGTGGTTAGTCTGCGTGAATTGTATAATTATGAAACCAGAGAGTAAACTAAAAATTAAAACTTTATACATTAGTAATAACCACTTACCGGGTGTAAGTAGGTTTTTTTTTTGCCACCTGATGGTAAGGGATCACCGTCGCCCTTAGTCTAAACCGTCGCTCATGGACACTTGCAACACCAGGAGTATCACAAATGCGATGCCGGTTTTTAAGGAAGGAGTATGCTCTTTTTTTGTAGGTACTTTATGTACCTACTTGTGTACTTAAAATGAACATTCAGGTGTTCATTATATCTATCAAGTCAATATTATATTTGTTGTTGTGTTTATTTATTTAGATATTGATAAATCGACTTAAACGCTGTTCTCATTTTTATCGAGATCACTAAGGTACTTTGACACACTTGCTATAAAGTAGCAACCTAATGCAGTTATTAACTTATTAAAATAAAATTTAAGTATAGGCTGATGTTTGTTATAAAAAAAATATTTAATATCTTGAAACTCTTGAAAGGTAAAAAGATTCACATGAAAGTAGGTTACAGTGACCCTACGCTTCGCTGTAGACTATAAGTTTCCGGGTGCAAAATTCATTTTATGATTTGGGAGTAAGCAAAAAAGGAATGGGATAAATTAAAAACTGAAAACACAATAGAACTTGCAACCTTCATATCATTCGAATGCACTGACCAATTAAGCTGCAAGGCAGCGCCATTTCTTCGCATTGTAGGTAACCCACAATGTCAAATGAATACTTTTACAAGTATTAAACATTTGAAAGAAGAAATAGCAATTATAGTTATAATTTTTATTTTTAATATCTATTTACTAGCGGCCGTTTTTTTCAGAACCCCACAGCAACCCATATTTTTTTCCGGATGAAAAGTATTCTATGTCTCAATCGAGGTCTTAAACTATATGCGTACAAATTTCATTCAAATCCTTTTAGTTGTTGTTGCGTGATTGAGTTACTAAAATATTAGTAGGATTCAGTATATCTTCATGGAAATCCGTGGGAAGTGTCCGCTAGACCTTGGTCTTGACTGCCGGTGTATCGGCCTTGGCTAACGGTCTCGCTGGAAATAAAAATGGCTGGGGAGCGTTGTCTCCTGCAAGGTTTCATCTTGTGATCACGACCGACGCCTATTTCAATGCCAACACCGGAAGGTTAATTTTTCGAAGTAAACAACCACAGAAGTAAAATAACACAGAATACATAATAGTATTTAGTGATAATTTGATAGCAACCAAATGTATTAGTGAAGTAACGCATGTAATTTTTTGAACATTGGCGAATGCGAATGCGGATGCGAATATCTGGTACCGACATTCGAGATATAGATTACAATATTTAGAATAGTAGAGCGTTTGTTCAAAATTGGCGCCAATTATCTATGACATAGTTGCAGTCTCGTTCGAATTGCCGAGTTGTAATATTAATCAATAATTATTACTTAAAACATTACAATTATTATCGAAATTATCACAATGAAAACATAAGCCACGAACCCTTTTTTTGTTGTTTTTTTTTACGATGTCGTAAGCAAAAAAAAATTCTAAAAAAATATTTCACGGAAACCCGCAAACTAAACATCTAAATAGAGTAACTAAATGTATTTTACTTACTGACCAGGCATGGTGTTTTTTTCTTTAAAACCACTGAAAAACACTTAAAATAGTCTGAATACACTTAACGTACGTCCTCTTAACAAGGGACCTCGAACGACGAACTTACACAGACAACAGTATAAATATTTCATATGGCGGTTGAGGTAATCAATGGCTAGATAGCTAGCCTGTTCTTTCCTCTACAAATTGATACTCGTATAATAATGTAGGTGATAGCAAAAATAATGAATGTTATATTTTCCATAGACGTAGGGCATAACGGATTTTTGCTAGAATTGGAGCGCCCGTCTCCACCTTACAGAAGATCACATCACAGTAAAATAACACAAATTTTAGGTAGTGTTGTGTTTCTGTCGATGAGTAAGGTTCCAGGGCTCCACGAGTTAGGGATCGGGTCAGTGTAGGCAACGGCGCGAGCGGCTATGGTGGCCGGTGTACCCCAAGGATCAGTGCTGGGTCCGCTGCTTTGGAACTTGGGATACAATTGGGTCCTGCGAGGCAGCCACCTGCCAGGCATGGAAGTTATCTGCTTCGCCGACGACACGCTAGTCGCGGCGAATTCGAAGACGGTGGAGGAGGCGGCCCATCTTGCGTCGGTTGGCACGTCATTGGTCGTCCGATGCATCCGCCGTTTGGGACTAGAGGTGGCCCTCGATAAAACGAGGGCCATAATGTTTCACGGCCCACGCTGCAAGATCCCAGCCGGGCTCTGTATCCGAGTGGAGGGGGTCCGAATACCAGTCGAGGGAAGCTTAAAGTACCTCGGCCTAGTGCTGGCCCCCCGATGGAGTTTTGAGAAACACTTTAAGCTACTCACTCAACGGTTGTGTGCCGCTGCAGCCGCACTCGGAAGGGTCGTTCCCAATGCGGGGGGCCCAGGCGCGACGTGCCGTCGGCTGTGTCACGGTGTGATACGGTCGGTGGCACTCTACGGTGTGCGCAGAGGGTTAACGCAACCCGGGCCGTGCGAGCACATCGCACGGTCAGGCACGGCGCGGCCTGCGTACTCGCAGGTGTGATGCCGTGGGATCTCGATGATGCACAAGTCTTGGCAGACGTGCATCGAGGTCGGGTTGAAACCAGAGAGCGAGGCGAGCGACTAGCTGCAGCGGAAATGCGGCGGGTCCGTTCCATTGCGCAGAGAAGCTCTGCGCTGATGGCACGATGGCATGGCATAGAGGCCCTTCGACCGGTATTGGAGGAGTGGGTGGGACGCCGGCGCTGTAGTCTCACCTTCCGCATGGTGCAGTTCCTGACTGGACATGGGTGTTTCGGTGGATACGCCACGGTGTCACCACTACGATGCTTCGGACGATACGGCCGAACACACCTTATTGGAGTGCTCGGCCTGGCAACGACAGCGCCGCGAGTTAATTGCGGAGCTAGGATGCGGAACCCTCTCGCTGCGGAGCATGCCATGCTCAGCAGCGAGACGGCTTGGGGGGCAGCAACTTCATTCTGCGAGGGCATCATATCGCAGAAGGAGGCAGCCGAGAGGGAACGGGAGGATAATCCTCTGGCCGCTCCCTGCCGCCGTAGAAGGACAGGAACGGGAAGGCGAAGGCGTGACCCGCCCAGTGACCCCCACACATGAGTAAGGCGTTAGCCATGCCGGTCACCGACGGATTCCGTGACGGCAGCCCTCTCTTGTAGTTTTGTCCTACATGAGAGGACCGCGGAAAGGCCTGCGAGGGGATCGCGTAGGCATTCCTTCCGCAGCGGACGGGGAGCGGTGCGGTGGGCAATAGGCCGCGCACTTAGCTCCCAGCGCGGGCAGTCCTGCGCACGTCTGCGGGATCACCCGCGATACCTCGGGTGATCCCTGCCATGGAGCCCCGGCTAGGCCGGGAGACTGTTGGGTGCGGAGAAGCGGTGAAGTCCCTCAAAGGGGATCTCGCGGTTCCGCACTTAACAGCAGGGTGTTTTAGCGGATAGTGTGCCGCAAGCGCTCATACTCGGA